ATCAGTGGTGTAGTGGTGCCTGGAAGTGGGTATAATCTGAATTTATCTTGCATATTTACCTCACCCAAATATGGGTCAGTACTATTTGCACATTGTCACTTAGCTCCTGCTGCTTGAAGTAAGGATCACATTAACATTAGCCACAGAAGACGTGCAGGTTATACTACTATTTTGAGTGAACTATTCCTTATTCCTTATTCAATCCACACATTGAAAGTAGTTTCCTTTGTAAACTGCCATGTTGATCAGCTGATTTACACTGTAGAATGTCCCATCATTATAAAATGAACATTGTTTTTCAAGGGGCAGTTTGCAAATTTTACTAGTTCAACAAAGGCCTAATGCATGAGGGCAGATGAAAGGGGATTTGGGTGGGTATGCGCCATGCCAACTGAAAAATAAGTATACTCTGTTTACCTACATATACCCTGCACTACATCACTGAACCTAAGCCTCTGTCATTTCAGCTATCACTGCTGGTTAGATATTTATTGTGATCGTGTATTCTCTGCGGTAAAACTGCATTCCCCTAAAGCAAAATAATAATAATTTTAGTCAGTAGATATCATTTCACCATTTTATTGCCTTGTGAAGTTTCTACTTTTTGTTTCCATCTTTGGATTTCATTTATGTGAGTAGAAAGACTTTTCTTCACTTACTAGAAAAATAGCTGTATTACTCCCAAATACACGTTTGATTTCTGTAGTCAAAGCCACAAAAAAGTGAGTGAAGAAAAGAAAACAAATGGGGAAACAAAACACTGAAATGTACCAATTTGGCAAGTAATGTGGTAAACACTATCAATATGGACCACAAGCAAAGAAGCAAGACCACTAATGACTAGATGCTGGCTCTAAAACTCCTCTCACTTCAGAATTCAAAATTCTCTCCTAAAAAATGACGTTTCTTTAAACAACGTGGTGCTTTCACCATGTTACAGTTCGGTAGGCCAACTCATGTAGACGTTATTTCCTGTGAATGATTTCTGACATTATCACTCAAAATCTCCCCTTAAAGTAAACTTAGACACAGAGATAGTGTAGTGTAGTGTAAGCTAATGAAATGAGATCTGAGCAGCAGAAGCAGCAAGGGTTTGCAGCAGTGTTACATCAGGGTGTGGAGATGAGCCGGGCAGCAGCATCAAAGCTGAACAAAACATATTTTGCATGCATCAAATAATTATTAACATGTTTAAACTCACGTAATCGTGACACGTAGCAGGTAATGCCCCCTGATTTAAAGTCAGCCACAAAGTATGGCTGAATGTAGCAAAACAGAGCAGAAGAGCAGAAGATCAGAAGTGTAGATGATATGAACAAAGTAAAGAAACTCACATGGACCCATTTTTTTTAGTTGAAATATTTTCTAATGCTTATCTAAATATATAAAGTGTGTTAACCCAATGCGGTGTGTAAGAAAGGCCGCATTGAGTTTCCTTTAAGGCCAGTATTAAAGGAAAATAATACTGTGAATGGATTGTGTGCAAGAAAAAATATTCACATTTGTAAAAACCAAAGTTAGAGACCCATGTGAGACTGCGGGTAACCCCCAAAAACCAAAAACATGCATCATATTCTGTTAGACAACTTATCCTATTCAGAGTCCTACACTCCAACATGGAGATTCACCACTCAGTAAATCAATAGCATGCAGTTGCCAAACAACCAAAGCGAGAACAATCCCTACCACAAGAAATTAATTCCCCATGAATAAATGCACTGCCAATGAAAATGCAGCACACAGGCAGCAGCATGAAAGCAGAAATTAGCAGCCAGCTGATGCCAAGAAATGGAACACACAAAGCATGAAAGAGCCAACAGCAGCAGCCCCGTAGTTTATAAATATTGTCATGTCAAGGCCACAAAAACTGACTGAACACAGTTTGCATATGAACACACAGGCTTAAATTCTTACCTTGGAGAAGTGAAGCAGCTGCTCTTTAGTGTCTGAAAAAGAAGGGAAGGAGTGTGACCCAAAGGTGCTGCAGGTGAGGATACTCGGATTGAACTCCACCTGTGCGCCTGACACGATGCGTGACTGGCCCACAAACAGAGCGACAAACATGGTGCAAATACGTTATTTTGCCTTCCATAATCGACGGGATCGGACTGTTTATAGGTTAACCTGTTAATGAAACGCTGTTTAGTTACTGATAATTGTTTTTAGCACACGTTTTGCAAATGCGCAATGCAGCAGCCCGCCATGCAAAGGTGAAGGGGTGCGTTGGATATGTGTTACAGTGAGTAGAGTTTGTCGTGTGTGTGTAGTTAATTGCAATTGTCAGTAGGCTGCTAGCTCGCACACTGTCCTCCAGTCGATGGGTTACAGCTATTGATGCCGTGTACATTTTAATAAATAAAAGCTGAATGATCAGGAAGCTTATTTTGTATTTCTAGCCATAAGGAATGTAGATGATAGAAATGATTTCTTCTCTCAGACCCAGGGTAGAAAAACCAATAAAAAAAATAGACAAGACAAAAATATAAAGTGTCTGGGTGGACTAAAGAGTTGGAATTTAAAGATTCCCTCTAGACATGTATTAAGACAAATACAAATAGTCTGCTGTGTATCATTTCCACATTAAAATCCTTTAAAATACATCTACTCCTTCTACCCTTATTAAAAAGCTATTAATATGAAAATGTTGTTCATTTCTAAAGTTTTCCTGCTGGAGATATCCCCTATTTTACAGTAAATTCAATTCTCCCCTTCAGGTTTCTATCACACTTGTATAAGTTGCATACTGGACCAGGAATGTGAAAATATCCTTCTAGTGTCAAACAAACATCATTCTGCACAGTGGTGCTCAAACATTCAACTGTAGGAACAAGAAAAACATATTTTTGAGTGGAGGGATACTGTATGTGTGAAGTGTATGAGGTGGAGTAAAAACATAAGATAAGATATGCATACATAAATACAGATAAATACAGTAAAAAGTATGTGACTAACTTGGCTGGGAGATGAAACTGTAGCACCTCCTGGTGGCGTTTACTTTACAATTTAGTAATCAGTAGTCTCCAAGTCAAGGGGGGTGGAAAGAGTCATGTAGGCCTTTCACAAGCATGGACGATAAATAATAATCAATAATGTCATTTATCTTTGGTCGATAAATTGTGGCTAGTTATACAGTACAGAAGGAAAAATATATTTGAATGTACTGTAGTTTGGGACTGTTATTTTTGTTTGTTTTTCAGTTGCCCCATCAATCACATCATGAAACTTTTCAAGTTTCAAGTGAGCCAGGATGATTACAAATATTTGCCTGTTTGAAATCAATATGGAGACGGAGGTTAGGGTTAGCAGAGTGGAGGGTTGCAACCAGCTGTGCAAACACAATCCAGATGATTTATGAACCCACCTGTGGGTTGCTAATGGTCCAAAATGGCACTGGAGTCACTGCAGCTCTGGAACCACGACCTGCTGATTAACCGCTGCAACACAGACTGATAAATGTATAGTACAAAGAGAAAGGTAGGTGGTCTGACAGATTGATAGAGACAGTTCCTGGATTTTTTCTTCCATTTTAATCATCTATTATCATTTTTTAGCACTTTGTATACCCCCATGAAACTACAACTATATACATGCATATACACTTCGTTTGGTATCTGGCAGCAGCCTCTGCACTACAATAATATTTTGCAATGAGGGCCTTTGCGTGTGTATATATAACAGAGAAGAGAAGGAAAGATGAAGCGATAGATAAAGCATGAGTGTGTGTGCATGCAAAGGGAAGAGTGAACAGAGGGTGTGCAAATCCACAGCTGGAGCTGAACTAAGATGTGTAGTTGTTCTTGAGCTCTTCTTCTTAAGTCAAAGGATTTTGGAGACAACATCTCAGCAGAAGAAAACCCCCAATGAAAACACACCATATTTGGTTAAGTGGTATTAATGAGGCCCTTCAGGTGGTAGGTTTCAACCACAGGGCAAAGCACTCTTTGTGGATCTCAGCTTTAATGGCTGCCACTGTTACCATTCTCAACCTAATTACAACATCTGGGGGTTATTTAAAGAGCAAAATGTGTAAGTTAGCATAATAATCATACCTCTGGCAATCACCGATATGGTTAATCAAAATTATTTTTTTAGCAGTGAATGTTAATGTTGCAAATTCAAAACAATATCAGAGGGCTGACTTTTTAACTTGGATGATCTAATATGTAGGAAAAAACAAAAGTAATAATCAATAATATGTAGAAGAAATGGGCATAAACAAAACAAACAAACATAAATACACAATAGATAGCAGAATGGTGTTATAATTGATTTAATGTTGCTGGAATGTTTATAACAAAGAGTCAGATAAGCAGCATGAGTTAATTTTAAAAAGGGAAATTATTTAACAAATTGATCACAATTTCAGTGCGGAATAGATAAATACATCAGCTGCATGAAAGCATAATAATACAATTGTAAAGCAAACACACCAAAACCAAAAACAATTCTGCCGCTATAAGGAATTAATTCACAGTAGATACCAATGCAAATACTGCACAACTATCACACACAATATCTACTCAGAAATACCAAATTCAATGGTGCAAATACATAAAAGGACCACATGATGGCAGGATGTGACCATGAAATGCTGCCAGGAGGTCTTTCTGTAACAGCAACTGCTGCCTTTGTTGCAACCTGTTAAACATGGAGTGTTTTAAAATCCAGTAATACCCCAGAGAGTAGCTGACTCTGGGTCTAACAACAGGTCTGTCTCTAAATCCGTACATCCATTTTCACAAGCGTTGTAATTCCATCACTTTCCAGTCATTGTTTATGTGTCTATATCACACCCATCTTGTGTGGGTCAGACAGCCATTTCAACACCAATGCATTCTTGACAGACGAGGCAAAAACTTCCAAGACCATCTCTAAGGCCAAAGTTCATTGTCAATGCCATGAGAAGAAAACTTTTAACAAGCTCTAAAAAAGAGCACTAGTTTAGAACAATTTGATTACTTTTTCTTGTCAAGCACGGATACATTTTTTTAAAGATTTGCTCAGTGTGCATGTTTGTAAGCTCTCATGTGATTCCTCAGTTTTGTGATGGTTATGAACCCTTTTCCACAAACGCTGCATTTGTACGGTCTCTCCCCCGTATGGATCCTAATGTGTATTTTTAAGTCTGTACTTTGGGCAAAACAGTTTCCACAAGTGTCACACTTATACGGTTTTTCACCTGTGTGGATTCTAATGTGCTTCTTCAAAGTTGTGCTGAGTGTGAATCCTTTGCTACATTGAGGGCATTTGTAAGGCCTTTCGCCTGTATGCATGCGGATGTGGTTCTTCAACGACGAGGAGTCTGTAAACTCCTTCCGGCAGTGGCTGCAAGGGTAAGGCTTCTCACCTGTGTGAATCCGCATGTGCTTCTTCACATTGGCGCTACAGCTGAATTTTTTCCCACAGATTTTGCAATTATACGGCTTCTCACCCGTGTGAGTTCTCATGTGTTTAGTTACCGCACTCCCCTGGGCGAACAGTTTCCCACATGAGCCGCATTTAAAAGGCTTTTCTCCGGTGTGAGTTTTCGTGTGCCGTTTCAAGGTCGACTTCTGGATGAACATTCTTCCACAGTAGCTGCATTTAAAAGGCTTTTCACCTGTGTGAATTCTCATGTGAACTTTTAAGTTTTTCAAGTAGGAAAAGGGTTTGCTGCAGTCATCACACTTGTATGGTTTGTTTTTAGGGTTTGGCTCATCAGCTGATCTTGGATCAACATCCATATTTTCCTTCTTTGGTATTGTCTCACTGATTATAACTGATGTTGCAGTCCTTGGGTTATTATTTGGTTTTGGCTCAGGATTTGTTGTTGATGGGTTGCCAGAGTTGTTCTTCTTTGGCTTTTTCTCAGAAATAGTTGTTGGTGATGTTTTCTCTGCATCATGTTTCTTCTTTGGTTTAAGCTCAGTATTTGTAATTGATGGGTTCCCAGAGTTCTTCTTCTTTGGTTTTGGCTCAGAATTTGTTGTTGATGGGTTCCCGGAGTTCTTCTTCTTTGGCTTAAGCTCAATATTGGTAATTAATGGGTTCCCAGAGTTCTTCTTCTTTGGTTTTGGCTCAGTATTTGTTGTTGGTGATGTTTTCTCTGCATCATGCTTCTTCTTTGGTTTAAGCTCAATATTTGTAATTGATGGGTTCCCAGAGTTCTTCTTCTTTGGTTTTGGCACAGTATTTGTCATTGGTGCTGCATCTCCATGTTTTTCTCTCCTGTGGTTCTGGTTATCTGCTACACGAGAAGTGTTGGAGAGGAGCCGCTGGTCACTGTTCAGTCCTGATGCTCCAGACTTTGTCCTGTCACATTCAGATCTCACCCATTCAATACGGATTTTGTCAAGAGGATCATCCTCTGCTGTACTCTGTTGAGTGTGTTCAGGATGTAAAAGCACAGGTTGATTATTGAGTTCAGTTTGATCACAACTGTGTCTCAACATAAAGGTATCAGTCTCCAGCTTCAGTTCAAGCTGCTCTTCCTCCTGACTGCTGCAGAGTTCCTCCTGTTCCTCTTTAATCTGCAGAGGCTCTGGGTTCAGACTGGAGTTCCTCTCCTGCTTACAGAGCTTCTGGTTAAGAAGAACCCTCTTCTCTTCCTTACAGACATATTGCTGTGGGAGCTCTGAATGGACAAAACAAGGAACATCAGAATTGTTTTTTCTCCTCTATAAAGCACTGTGTAGCTTTATTAAGAAATATACTATAAGATAACTTATGATGTATGACATATGACTCGATATTTAACTACTGTGACAGTACAGAAGTACCAGTAGTCTGTAGACAGCTTAACACATCAGAAGTCAAATATAGAAGTCAATATAAGGTCCACTACATCTTAAGGTATCCTTTAGAGACTGTGCAGAAATTACTGGGCTGGGGTCAGAAATGGTATGTTTTTGCCATAAGTTATACGTTTCCTTTGGCTGAGGAGCAAGTAGTCTGACTTTTTTGGGGGCCTTTCATTAATTTCCTTCCCAGTTCAGATTTATATTTTACACTGAAGTCCTGTATTTTGCCATATGCAGTTTTTTTTTCTGTATGAAGGCTTTATTTTTTCCTGTCATGTTCGAATTGTAGCAAATGCCAATATGTCTGTTTTAGAAACAAAGATGCAGATCGCTCTTTACAGTTATTAGTAATAAGATAAGATTTAACTGTATTTCCCCGTAGGGGGGCAGTAGAAGGGTGCAAAATATATGGAGTATAAATTTAAAATATCTATAAGGTACAAATCCAACATATACACAAAACTTAAACCATAAATAGGTTGACTGTGAGGATGATAGCTATGTAGTACAATATCAAATCTGAAGTACAGGTAAATGCATATGTTATTATTAATTTGTAATGATTGTAATATCTGGAGACAGTAAGACCCAGAGAGATTAAACAAACAGAGCAGCAATAGAGCTGAAATGGAGAAAGTAGCCTGCAGTCTATCTCTCAACATGAACTAGATGAGTTTCTGCAGCACTCTCTAGCACATTGTGGTGGTAGCTGTCTACTGCCAAAGATCCTCCTGCAAATGAAAAAAACAGTCACTACCCTACAGTCGCTCACTGCTTCCGCACCATGACAGTAAGCAGAACTGCAGTAAAGTTAGGCTACAATATAAGCCTATAATAATGGCTAATGTAAGTTCAGCACCTGATGAAGCTCGTACAATGTGTGACAATGATAATAATGATGGTATAATACTAGTGGTTTAGAGGTGCATGTGTGATGAATTCATGACACTGTAGGTGCCAGAAAATGCCATAGCCGTATGTAATGGTCATGCTTAAAGATGGCTGCTCTGGAGGACCTTGTCAGTGTGACACAAACCAATGTGATATTCAACTGACCTTTTTCATTGCAGGTATTCTCATGCAAGATGATGTTTAAGGGTATGTCTACATCCGTTTACATGCACATAGTTCACAGTGATGGAAATCCACAAAACAGATCAATGCATGGATTTTAAATCTGAGCAAAAAGTCAATATTTCTTCCTTTCCTCACATGAATTAAGAGAATATGAGCCCCAGGTCCTCTCAAATAAACAGTGTGATGCATCCATCAGGGACACGGAAAATGTTAGGTTTAGTAGGTTGCTGTGAGAGGGAAGCTATTAAAAAAATATATTATATTTCTGATTTTCTGACGTTGACTACATAGGAAGACATTTTGATATTGACTCACTGAGTTACATAACCTGCTGTTGATGAGTTCTGGCCTACCAGAACTGCTATCCATCCATCATAGTCAACCATGAGAATATTAAATTATTAGTCTTCTTTGATGTTTTTTTTCATTTACAGGTATAAAGATCATTCACAAAATGCGAATGTGAAAACAGCTGTCACTGTTACTATGGAAGCATTGCTCTAGGTAAAATCAAGACTGATCCTAACACTATACAAACCACTCTAAAATATCTTTATGAAACCAAGCTCTGGCCCCTGTATGTAGGCCTACTTGTTAAAAAAAAAAAAAACAGAAATTCTGCTCCATCACAATAACTGTGCAATATTTTTAACTATTTGAAAAAAATGTATTAATCTTTTTATTTAATTCTGAAAATTATTTGCAAAGTCAGCATGAAGGTAAAATATTTTTTTCACGGTAGGCATGGTTCTATCTGTTAAATATCCAACTTTGATCTATTTTATTTAGAGATGTATGTGAAAGTAACCATCTTACAGACCTGTCCTGTGTACCTTTAACTCGGGCTGCAGGAAGATATCCAGCAGTCTGCGCTGGCGGGTGATTTCCTCCTCGTAGGCAACCATAGTCTGCTCACACACTCCTAAAACCTCCTCCACAGCAGCAGCCAGTCGCTCCTTCACTAACTCCCTCAAACTCTCAACCGCAGACATTTTCAATCAATTATTATATAATTTTTTAGGCTGGAACTCAAACACTATCCTCCATTTGTCACCTAACTAAAAAGAAATGCTTTCTTTCCTGTCAAAGCTGTTTACTGTTTATCGATTTACAAATCAGAGATACACTTTACCAAAATTGAAAGAGGGCGGTCTTAAACCGGATGTGACAGGTGCTGAGATAGACAGGCAGATTATACCTAAGGCGACTCACAATTCATGTCTCTCCATCAATTGCCCAAAATGTAAAGTGCAAGCATCGACAATACAACCACACCGGTTTAGGAAAAGAGCTCAGTAGACTTTATTCAGATTGAAGGAATAAAATATTCAGAATACATTCAGTTAGTGTGTTTAAAGAGCATGCTGCAGGTTAGAGAGATAGGCTGTGCTTATAAACCAAACCTGTTACCAAAAAGTGAAGGTATCAAGGCAGCAATGAAGTAATGTCTTTCCTAATTTGCCTAGTAAAATCAACAGTATAAACTCTGAATAAAACAATGATACATTAAATTAACACATTTTAATTACATCAACCATTTCTGTGTGTGTGTGTGTGTGTGTGTGTGTGTAACTGTTCGTATGAAACTGATGCTTCATAAAAATGTCAAATCGCATTGTTCAAAACCATTTCCAGGTTTTTGACTATTTCTCAGTAGAACGGTATTTATGCCACAAATTAGTAAGTGGCTTCAGAAAATGACAGGCAACAGATTCATCCGGACCAGAACAAGATTCATTCAAACCTTTGGTAAATACTGAAATACATTTATCAACAACAACTTGAGCATTTGCTTAAACTGAATTCCCCAAAGTTACCATGTTGATATACAATATTCATTTTAAGTCACTATAATGACATGGTGCCAGGGATAGACCCTCAAAAGTTAAAAAAAAAACAACATTCTTCGTCTGAACACCAGGTAAGTCCGAAGAAAGCTAATACAAGGCATTATGATTAAGAAGTTAAAAAAAACAAAAAAAACAGAAAATTAAAACTGATTTTCACAGATTTTACACATCAAAGTCTGTGTACAGGTCTTGATTATTACTACTACAGATGTGAAAAACGTTTGTGGCTCCAAAGGGAGCTGCTTCGAGTCTGTTAAACTGTCTCAGGTGACCTCACTTGAGTCAGTGTCTGTCGGTTGATTGAAGACTACTGAACACTGAAGTGAAGAAGTGAGCTTGCCAGACGTCTTCAGCCTGCTCCTAATCTCTGCTGGCAGCTCAAGGCTACCATGCATGTCCCATGTAAGTGGATACTGCATTAGCGGTGGGGCTCTGTTTGCATGAAAGTCGCTCTGTGGTGCATGAAGCCAAAAAAAAAAAAAGCCACTTCCTGCTGTGAAGAAATGACCCGGATGAAAGTATGAACATGAGAGATTTTATCCACCGCTTTACAGCTGCTTCTCACACAATGTACGTCTATGGAAAAAGTGTTTTGGTGCGCCTGTGCTTCACATGAGTTGTAATTACACAGTTTGGCCACTATGTCACAGTGGCTTCAAAGCCCAGCATGCTTCCTGTGGGCTGGGAGACTAGTAGCACACCCGAAACTGTCTGCACTCTGTGCTTTTGTCATCACGAGATTGTCATGGAAGAGGGAAATACATTTAATAGATGATATCTCTGGTTCTGCTGCACTGACGTTGATTTTGTCCAACAATGTTTCAGAAGTGCATTGTGAATTTGGTGGAGTAGTTTTCTTTTAAATAAAATGTTAAAATATCAGTAGAACTTCTACTTTAGTGCAATTCATTTTTACTTTTATAAGTATTGCATATCAAATGCAGACTTGTCTTTAAGAAGAGGCGCTTTCCTCGTCACTTGTGTGGACTCTCTTGTGTTTGTTGAGTTTTGACCAAGTGGAGAACTGTTCTCCGCAACTGCTGCATTTGTAAGGCGTCTCCCCAGTGTGCATTGTCCTCATGTGTCCTTTCAGGTCCGTTCTATGACCAAACACCTTGTCACACACATCACACTTGTATGGCTTTTCGCCTGTGTGCGTCCTGTTGTGCCTTTTCAAAGTCGTCCTGGTAGCAAATCTTTTCTTGCAAAAGGAACACTTGAAGGGCTTTTCTCCTGAATGCACTCGCTGGTGATTTTTGAAAGACGAAGAATCTGCGAACTCCTTCCCGCAGTCACTGCAGGTGTAAGGCTTCTCCCCCGTGTGGATTCTCTTGTGCTTCTTCATATTCACTAATGAGCTGAAGCTTTTATCACAGGTGTCGCATTTGTAAGGCTTTTCCCCGGTGTGAACCCTTACATGCAGATCGAGGTTATAACGTCGGTTGAATCCGTTTCCGCAAACCTTGCATTTAAAGGGCTTGTCAACGGAGTGAATTACTAAATGTTTATTCAAATCCCAACTCTCCCTGAACATTTTCCCACAAGTGTCGCATTTGTAGCGCTTTTCAACAGTGTGGGATTTCATATGAAATTTGTAGTTTTTGAAATTAGTCATCACTTTACCGCACCTGTCACACTTGTAAGGGTTATCCTGATCCTGGGCACTACCGCCTGAAGACTTCCCATTTTTCCTATTAGATGGGGGGCTGGTACTTCTGTACGAGGCTGTGCTCTCATTATCAAGTTTCTCACTTCTGGTTGATGTATTTTCTTTACGTCTCTTATTTGGTGTTGGGTCAGTACCTTCATTTGAGGTTGTGCTCCCATCGCTTGGTCTCTTATGAGGTCTTGACTGCTTACTCCTTGTAGACATTGTGTTTTCTTTGCTGGGTTTCTTATTTGGTGTCAACTCGTTACTACTGGTTGATGTTGTGCTCCGATCATTACGTTTTTTACTTTGTGTTTGCTTAGTACTTGTAGCGGATGTTATTTTCCCATCTTTGGGTTTCTTAGATGGTGTTGGTTCAGTACTTTTAGCTGATGCTGTGCTCTCACTGTTATCTGGCGATGGCTCACTACTTCTGGTAGACGTTGCTTTACCAACATTGTGTTTCTTATTTGATACTGGCTTAGTACTTGAAGATGACGTTGCTTTCCCATCATTGGGTTTTCTACTGACTGTTGGATCAGTACTTTTAGCTGGTGTTGTCTTCTCATTTTTACATTTCTTATTTAGTCTTGGCTCATCATTTTCATTTGATGTTGGGTTCTCATCATTATGTTCCTCATTTGGTGTTAGTTCAGTTTCCCTAATGGATGTTGTGGTCTCATCGTTACATTTTTCATTTGTTGTGGATTCAGTGCTTTTAGTTGATGTTGTGTCTTCAACATTATGTTTCTCATTACGTTTTAGCTCAGTACTTCTGGTGGATGCTTTATTCCCGTCGACGCGTTTCTTATTTGGTGTTTGCGCAGTATCCCTATTTGATGTGTTCTCATCATTACATTTCTTACGTGGTGTTGTTCCAGTACTTGTAGCTGATCTTGTCCTCTCATTGTAACATCTTTTGTTTGGTGTTGGCTCAACACTTCCAACTGAGACTGGTCTGCCATCTCGGCTTTTCTTATTTGCTGTTGACTCACTATTTCCCTGTGATGTTGGGTTCTCATCATTATGTCCTTCATTTGGTGTCAGCTCGGTGCCTCTAGTTGATGTTGTGGTCCTCTTGTTATATTTCCTATTTGGTGTTGGCTCACTATTTTCTTCCGATGCTGCGTTCTCATCTTTCTGTTTGTCATTTGGCGTTAGCTTGGTGCAGCTGCTTGACGTTGTGGTCTTATCGTTACCTTTCTTCTGGGGTGTTGGCTCAGTACTTGCAGCTGATGTTGTTTTTCCATTATCTGGTTTCTTTTGTGGTGTTGTCTTAGTATTTCTGATTGACGTGTTATGATCATTAGGTTTCTTATGTAGTATTGTCTCACTATTTTCACTTGATTTTGGGTTCTCTTTGCTTTGTTTCTTATTTGTTTTTAGCTCGGTACTACTGGTTGATGCTGCGTTTTCGTCAGTACATTCCTCATGTGATGTCTGCTCAACACTTGTAGCCGATGTTGTGTTCTCATCTTGGCTTTTCTTATTTGGTGTTGGCTCACTATTTTCTTTTGAAGTTGGGTTCTCATCATTCTGTTTGTCATTTGGTGTAAGCTCTGTGGCTCTAGTTGATGTTGTGGTCTCATCATTACCGTTCTTCTGTGGTGTTGCCTCAGTAGTTGTAGCTAATGTTTTTCCATTGTCTGGTTTCTTTTGTTGTGCTGTCTTAGTATTTCTGATTGATGTTGTGCTTTGATCATTACCTTTTCCACTTGATGCTGGGTTCTCATTGTTATGTTTCTTATTTGTTGTTAGCTCGGTACTACTGGTTGATGCCATGTTCTCATCACTGCATTTCTTATTTGCTGTTTTCTCAGTTGTAGCTGACGTGCTCTCATTGTTGCTTTTATCTGAGGTTTCCAAAGTGCTTGTAGCTGATGTGTTCTCATCTTGGCTTTTCTTATTTGCTGTTTGCTCACTGTTTTCTTTTGATGTTGTGTTCTCATCATTATGTTTCTCATTTGGGGTTAGCTCTGTGCCTCTAGTTGATGTTGTGGTCTTATCGTTGCATTTCTTTTTTGATGTCTGGTCAGTGCTTGTAGCTGATGTGTTCTCATCTTGGCTTTTCTTATTTGATGTTGGCTCACTAGTTCCTTCTGGTGTTGAGTTCTCATTAAGTCTCTCATTTGGTGTTAGCTCTGTATCTGTGCTGCTGGTTGGTGCTGTGGTCGTAACATTACATTTCCTATTTGGTGTTGGCTCATTACTACTTTCTGATGTCGTGTTGCCATCGTTGCTTTGGTTATCCAATGATTGCTCTGTACGTGTAGCTGTATGCATAGTTGGTGATGCACCTCCATCTGTGAAAGTTATGTGATCTTGGCTGTCAGCTTCATGAGAGTTGTGAGAGATGAGCTGCTGGTCACAGTTTGGTGGAGAACTAACTCTGTCAGATCCAGATAATGTATCTTTGTTTGAGATGCTGGATCCAGGATCTTTATCCGCAGTTTGGCCAGGGTCCAAAGCCTGGGACTGATCACTGTGGACACTTTCCTCACAAGTGGAAGTCTTTCTAGAGGCATCAGTCTCCTGTTGCTGTGCAGGATGCTGTTGTTCCTGACTGACACACATTTCCTCTTGGTCCTCTTTAATCTGTGGAGGATCTGGTGGGACCAAACTGGAGCTCGCCTCCTTGTTAAAGCGCTGTTGCTGAACCTCCCCCTCCTTACGGACATGTGTGAGCTCTAAGGGGGAAACAACAAGGAATCAGAGAATGAAGAAATGCTGCACATATATTTAACTGATGTGATTATTGGTCTATAATGAACAGTGTAAATTTGAACACAGCAGTTCCCCTGCAAGGGACTGAGAATGCAATTAACGTTGACAGTCACAGTTTCTGTACTTTTTTGTTATTTAATCTCGAATGTTAATTAGCTACAGTAACCTTAGACTAAATATATTAAAATACATACATACAAAATCATACAAATCTGTAATCATAAGGTATCATAGCCCTCATTGATGTCAGATTATCTTAAAATAACAGTGCTGGGTTGATTGATTGCTCTTTAATGTATGTTGACACTGGTATCTAGTTCATCCTGTAATGAGGTACAGGTTCTAAAGCTGCCCCGTTTGTTGCACACGCTCCCTGTTAACTTTCAAATCCCACAAAAGTTGTTTAAAGGAAAATATATGTATTTTTAGCCTTTTTTGCAAGGTGTGTCTATCTTATCACTAAATGGCACGTCTAAAAGAGACGATACGACCACAACTGAATCTCAGATAAGGTTCAGAAGAAGCAGTGAACTACATCCTCTTTTAGATGCCCTATGAGTAGAAAATAAGCCTTCAATCCAAGAGGCAGGTTTACCGACTTTACAGGAAAACTTTGTTGAGTAAAATCTCAAACCATCTCAAAACTGGAACATGAATTTAAGTGGAAAGACTTTTCCTAAGCTTACAATTATCCAGGTAACTCAGTAAACCTGCTTCCTGGACCGCCTGTGGAATTGACATTCTGTGCTCTCTTTGAAAGTGTGGAAAGTTGCTTGAATATATACTGTATATAAGTGCAGCTCAAACCTAATAGAGAAACGTTGTACTAGACGATGCTTGCTAATTGCTAAATAGCAGAATCACAGTTTACCAGCCTCTCAAAGGTTAATGTTTGCAGATTTTCTTAGTCTTTTATTCATAGTAAACTGAATACCTTTGGGATCTGAACTGTTGATTGAAAAAAAAAAAACAGATGTTGCAATTTTTTTGATTCACTGATTAATGGAGAAAATTGTGAGCATAATAATCCACAAATAAATAAAAAAGATTGCAGCCTTTGTGTTTTTAGTGATTCGGAAATAAATGACAACTTCTCTTTCCTTCTATTTTTAGTCTTCCTCTAGAAAAGGCCTGAAGTCTGCATCTCTTAACTTGCGGTCAGTGGTGGAAAAAGTACTCAGATCTAAAAGTAGCAATGCCCACAGTTCAAAAATACTCCAATACAAGAGTACGTCTGGAAAAAATACATATTAGCAGTAATATATACTCTATGTATGTCTGTAGAATGGTTTGAGTGATATATTTCATTATTATATAACAGGTAATATTGATGTATTAATGCATAAGTAGCATTTTACTGTTGAAGCTGGTCGAGGTTGAGCTCATTTCATTCCTTCACAACATAAATCAGACAGGCTCTGAGGTGATTAATGAGGTAGGAAAGAACAAAAACAACCTTCTGCTGAAAATATCTGAATTATTTTTTGGAACTTCTGTTTTCTGAAATATTGGATAATGGATCATTTTTCCTGTTTGAAACTCCAACCAAGGTATTTAAACGAAACCATCTGATAAGTTTGATTTCTGAGTACCAACAAACAAAGACATGTGAAACATGTCACTGGTGTGAGTGTTCACAACAGGCCAGAAGAGCTGCGAACAAGGTGGGACACAGACAGATAAATGGTCAAAGTCACCAGCCATTTCATAGTCAATCATTACATTGTGTCTGAAATGTACCACCGCTTTCAAACCTCCCCAGCGTTTCCCCCCATGGTTGGGAAGCTTTCATCTTTAACAATACAGTGCATTGCATAAGGTTTTATAACCACACACTAACTATCACTGTCCAAAATCTGATGCTAGATGTCAAACTAAAGTACACTATTGGCTCTGGTAGTGGAGTAGTTTCCACCATTGCTTGTTTTAACAGAAAGATTTCTGACATACCAACAGTGGGCGAGGCTGCTGGCAACTTTTAACTTCTGAGCAGTTTATTATCTTCAAGTTATTGCCCCCGAGGGGGTAGGACCAGAGTACGGTGGCAACTTCCGCATGTAGTGTGGCTTCACGTGTCGACATGTGTGCGATAGTATTGTCTTAAAAAAGCAAATTAAAGTGTACTGACGCTTTAGACCTATCTAGCTACCATGGCAACTGAGCGACGTCCTCACGTTACGCACAGTTATAAGCAGCGCATTCTTCTTTTATTCTTTTATTCTTTACGGTGTGTAGTTCCAGTCAGACCGGTCAGTCTGTAAGGTGATACTCGACACAGATAAACACTCAATGTGAATGCACCGATACGTTGGACTGTTTGACAGAAAACTGGCTTCATTAGAGAGAACTTGGTGATTTTACCAACCTGCCGGGTTTAACTTGGTCTCAGGCGTTAAAACGAGGTCCAGCAGTCTGCGCTGACGGTCGATCTCTTCCTCGTAATCTTGTATTTTCGTTTCAAACGCTCCCAGTATTTCTTGTGCAGCTGCAGTTAGCCGGTCACAGACAAACCGTCTCATACTTTGAACTGAAGACATTGTTGAGTCCAAACTGATATACTTTCCCCCTGTTAAAACTCCATCAAACTCTTTTCTTTTTTTTTTTTTGCTAACTGAACGTCAGTTCCCAGTTTCCGTTTTCACTTCCGCTTTAGAGCCGCTTCTTCTTCTACTTGGTGTTTTATGGCAGTTGGCAAACAACGCTATGGTGCATTACCGCCACCAATTGGTTTAGAGTGTGAATCGGGAATCTCTCTTCACCCTTCACTACTTCTACTGATAAATAAATACAAATGAAAAATAAATAAAAATAAAGCTGTATTCTCTCTCACATAATTCAACTTTAGTTCTTTAGGTTTCAGTGTAAGTTCCCACCTCTCGGCATCATATTTTGCACAATAAGCATCATATGTGCCACTTTTTCTTCTTGATCACAAATTCACTCCTTCCTGTATTATGTTTTCCTATTTTAAATAATGTACAATCAAGAGATTACTTATATAATTAGAATCCTACTCTGCTTATGGTGATTATCCATACCAAATTTATAAGTATAAGTTATGCAAAATAAGTAACTTTTTACTATTCACTTGTTTGGAGGGTATACATTTTAAGATTTGTCAAGCAAATTCGGAGTGACAGATCAAAGAAACCATAATGTAAGTCATTAAATGTAACAACCAACATCAGAAGTCAATTTCTTACCTTTCAACAATCTACTCCTGAGAATACATAACACTGGATAACAGCGCATGCGTAAACCTACATCTGAAGTGCAGTGTGATGTTTTTGACCCACTAAAGTTAAAGCGATGTTAACGTATATTGCTGGGGATTCCCTCAGAGCAAAGAGTGAAGAACATACAAATAAAACTCACTTGACATCCAGCAATGGACACACGAGAAGCACATTTAATGTAAGATAATATAATAATAATAATAATAATAATATCTGAACATTACACAAAGGTAATCTGGGGTGTGGAGGGTACTCACACAAGTAATACAACAGTAGAAAATAAAAGACAACAAGCTGTAGAGGTAGAGAAAAAGTTCTCATGCTCCTCATAGAAAGAATTTGCCCATTGGGGATTAATAAAGTTAATTTTATTTTATAGCTGCATGCCTCAGACCTAAACATCTTTCAACACTGACAAATACAGTGAATGTAATGCAGTGCAAGTCAGTTGTTACTTGTAAGATGCCTTGTTTAATATTGAGTCTGCAATGCCTGTCAGTATCTTCCCCTCTTGTCAAATGAGTGGATGCCCCTGTAGAGGCTTGGGCTACAACTAATGATTATTAGTTTTACATGTCAGTCCCATGTTTGAATAAGCCCCTGAGTCAATCATTTCCAAATCTTGAATCTTCCTTTCTCGGTCGGACCTAAAAAAGTTTCTGCAACTTCTGCTTCCAATATGGCACAAGTTTCAGTTGAATCCCAACAATCTAATCTTACTCTGTGTGAGTTTGAAACTTTTTGAGCATTTCTCAAAAGACATCTCAGCTCAGTTTTTTCAGTTTGTGGGTCTCCCTGTGCAATCTCAGTCCTGTGTTATGAGCAAAATCCTTCCCACAAATGGTGCATTCATACGGCTTTTCCCCCGTATGGACTCTGGTGTGTATTTTCAACGTTGTGCTGACAGCAAACCCTTTGCCACACCACATACACTTATAAGGTTTCTCCCCTGTATGAACCCGGACGTGATTGGTGAGAGACGAGTGGTAAGAAAACTCCTTCCCGCAGTAATCGCAGCTGTATGGCTTCTCCCCCGTGTGAGTTCGGTTGTGTCTCTTCAGGTCAGTGCCGCGGCTGAAACGTTTCCCGCAGGTGACACAAGCGTGGGGCTTTTCGCCTGTGTGAGTTTTCATGTGAGTGACGCAGTTTGACTGACAGTTGAATTGCTTTCCACAAACTCTGCATCTGAAGGGCTTTACCCCCGTGTGAGTCATCATGTGTTTCCTCATCCGTGCCTTCTGGGTGAAACCTTTCCCGCAAGTGTCACACTTGAAGCGCCTTTCACCGCTGTGCGTCCTTACGTGAATTTTTAACTGAAAAAAATCTTGAAACTCCTCCGTGCAAAAGAGACATTGGAAATGTTTGCTCGTTTGGCTTCCTCTTTCGCCGTCTTGGGTTTCATCTCCGTGAGCGTTGTGAAGAAGGTGGTGGTCACCATTTGGTTTCTCTCTGTCAGATTCAAGTTTTTTTACTGTGACTGAGAGTTTAGTGAGTGGTGGTGGAGTCAGATCTTCATCGTGATCACTTCCCTCACAAGCAGGCCTAAAGTTGAATGGTTCAGTAGAAGTCTGCTCCAGTACGGGCTGCTCTCCCTCCTGACTGGTGCAGAGCTCCTCCTGTTCCTCTTTAATCTGTGGAGGATCTGGGTCCTCTTGGTCCACACTGGAGCTCCTCTCCTGAATACAGAGCTGCTGGTCAGCGAGCACCTCCTCCTTATAGACAGGATTAGTTGGAGATATCTTGAGGAGGACAGGGAAGCACTCTTAGTGTCTCAGTGGTTAGGTTAAAAGAGCACCTTGTATAGCCTCGAATCCTCCAGTGTGAAAGAAGTATTCAGGTCATTTACATGTGCATGCAGTGACACCACAGTGTAAAAATACTCTGTTACAGGT